CTTTGAACCTTTTTGATGGGCAGCAGTGTTAGTTTGACTCGTATCAATGCTGCCTTTTCTTTCTGTGGAGCACTTTGACTTCGTTTGGTATTATTATAAATATTATTGGCTAAACTTCACCGCTCGCTCTGATCCTTACTCGACTGTTTCCTGGTTTGTTGTTGTCCTCGTTCAGAGATGTGCACACAGTGTGAGGTTTGTGTGTGTTTGTCCCTCAAGCTTTTATAATCCAAATGTTGAACTGCAATAAATAAAACTCAGCAGGAGCTCAGCGGGGCGCAGAACTGCCCCCTTTCCTCCCAGAAGATACGACATGTGCGCCTTTAATCAAGTGCACTTTTCCTCTGATAGGACTCACCACTTATTCCACACACACACATGCACACGCACACACACACGCACACGTCTGCTTTACTTACACATTCTTACATCATCTTTGGCTCCGTCTGCTCTGGTTTACAGAACAGCTTCAGTTTTGTATCCAGTGGTGAAAGGAGGACAAACAGTTACCTCATGTGTCCTCATGTTTTATGATGACATCAGATGCAAAAGACAAAAAGTGAAACAAACATAAAAACAGTTATTTTCTGCCTGTTCTCCATCATTTCATACGCTGTAAAATCTAATTAGTTCACAGAACTCAAACAAACTAAGTAAAGCAAACTTAAGACGACTGTTAGGACAACTTACACAAGTCTGCAGTATGAAGAATAACTTGATATTTCTGACTGTACAACACTAATTGTTTACCTACTGACAAACATTTCAAGTTCAACTAAATGAAAAACTATTTGTGGTAACCTGAATATGACTAAAAATAATTAACAACAGTTTTTGTAATGATGTTAAAATCAGCCCAACTTTTATTTTCAAACACAACAAAGTACAACAGCCAACATACTGGACACTGTTCTGCTGAACAACAGTTATATCGCCATCACTGTTATAATCTTACAATGAAACAAAGTCTCAGATGTAATTATTCTGAAAATAAGTTTGTTTTGTACTTACATTACTTACATAATCAAAATAAATATTTGTTGTTCTGTCACAAGTGCATCTCTGATTAAAACAACACATTTGTTTTTCATTCCAGAATGTTGTAATGTTTTAAGGATGCTTGTTTCCAGTCCAGGCATTACTGCTGAATGACTGTCATGGATCGAGGTGATCCAAATGTAGGTGCAGAAGAAAGTCTTTAACTTCCCTTCAGTACAGTGGCAGTGGATGTGGGTTGGAGATGCAATGAGCTTGAACCTGCAGGCGACCATCTTCACTGACCACACCATCTGTGACGGAGGACTCATCTCTCCTGTTGTCCTGCAAGCAAACAATCATATTTTTTTGGAACATGAACTTAATTGCTTTCTTAAAACATTTTTTTCTGCATTTGGTATAGAACAGACTCCAATTTAGACAATCTCAGGCCCCCTCCCCACCGGAGAGGTGACATTCAATGTCCCACTGTCAGTCTGGATAGCCCTGACCCCCACCCAACACACAATAATGTCATGAAAGCATCATTTTAAAAAGGGCTATGCAAACATGGCCAATACTTTCATTCTAATGATGTGCAAAATGATTTGGGCACAAAACAAATTTTGCTGTTAGAAAACTTGCAGACTTCACTAAATACAGTGTAGACCCTCTAAACTAAGTTTGGGGGATGTGATCTTTCAAGAAATGCAGACAAACTGTTGTTGTTTGTTTACTTCCACAGCATGTCTTGTAGAATTAACTGGAGTCACAGCAACAGCATAGTGCAGTCATATCTTAAGTCTAATAACAGAAGACAGGAAAAGATCAGTGAAGAAACAACTTCCCCAAACCAAAGCACAAATAAAACAATAAGTAAAACAGGCTGATCTAAAGTATGATTAAAGTTCAGCCTAATTAATATAAATGTCACTGACAGTTGCTAATATATTGGAAAACCAAGATACTTACTGATGTCTTTCTGTCCAGCAGCAGGAGTGCTGGTCCCTCAAAGACAGTAAGAAGCAAGCAGAGGGAGAAAAAACAGAAAAAACTGAAACCAGTTTGATCCTTAATGGCTGTGCAGTCATTGTAACTTACAACACAGAAGGTCCATGTAGACCCCACACAGCCAAATTAGACTAACATAGTATTAAAAACACCATCTACTGTGTCTGAAGATCTGCCCTCCCCCTGTGGCTCGGTCACTCTGGTATTTCTTCATTCTTCATCTTCCTCCTCCTCAGCATTCGCTCACAGCCTTTCACTTCCTCTCTCTCTGTCAGTGTTTGGTTTCAAGCATGATATTAGTATTAATTATAATTTCTTTATTGTTATCGGCTCTGAAAAGTAGAGCCAATGATGGTGTGTCAAAAACCTGCGTTCTTTCTTGCGTCCAGCAGGGGGCGACTCCTCTGGGTGTGACTGCGCAGAAGCCTGTGAGGAGAGAACGAGCCTC